AACCTCATCGCTATGCGCTCAATGCATGCAGTTGTAGAATTATCACGTTCACGTTAATATATTTTATCGAGTGGTATCACTTTTTTTTTCTTTCGCGAATGTCAAATGTCACTTTTACCTTGTCAAAATGAAGATTCTCAGAAATTCTTGAAGGTTCGAATTACAGTTTTTTGCTGTGAATTAAACCGATCGAAAATAAAAATAAATAATTCATTTAAGGGTTAATTCACTTAAATGCATAATTATCGTTATATTTCAAACAATCGCTGGCACCACAAATCATTTTTGAAATTGTATAAAATAAAATGCAATTCTCTAGAGTTTCTACTGAGCAGTAAATGTAGAAATTGATTTGATCGTAAACAAGGTCTTTTTCTGTACTTTTTTCATCCGGTACAGGTTTGGTATACAAGAAATAAGATTTTTAATTAGCTGAATCGAACTTTTCTAATTTCAGAACACTCGGAATTCGATTTCTTTTAATATTATAAGGCATTCGAAATCGTACAATAATATTGTTAAAGGAATGTAACCAATCATAAATAGAATTTTGGCAAAAATGATCTGCAGCCAAAGGCGAGAAGACCAATCTATTTTTGTGCGTGTGTGAATTGTGCTCAAAATCGAAACTGGCAAGGACCCTCGTCAAGCCCGATTGCACAGGTCGAGAAGAACTCCTTTGATCTAAGAAGAACGATGTGGGACCCACGAACATGTAATACTACTGTGAATTCTCGGTTTTCCGACTGCGCCTGGTCCTCTCATGGTTTTCAGTTTGCGTAACATCTGCACCGGACGTGCCTACGACGACTGTCCCAAAGTTGCCAAACTCGTAGTTTCAATGCTTTGAAGGAGGAGTAGGTCCGAAATAAAGTGTCTGGACCCAAATCAAATCACACGGAAGTTCATGCAAAAGGGTCTCGTACCGGAAACCAGTAAAAGCATCACCCTTAAAAAACCGCAGAACGAAAGACAAATCTTGCTCCAAAAAAAAAAGTTGAAAGATATCGGGTTCGTTTTTGTCCAGCATACATATATTAGTGCTTAATGAGAACCCTTAATAGTTGGTGAACGTAAATGGATAAAAGTAAGTTATTGCTAAAATTTGAGTTCTTGCGATGAGCGTTTTAGGCGCTGGTGCCAGAACGAGTGTTTTTTTTTTATCTAGAACAAAAGATACCGCTACTGTAGACAATAAATTGAAATAAAGTTATCGCGAGGAAAAAAAAAAGAATTTTGTACAGTAACGTCACCATGCATCTAAAGCATGGTAATGAAAAAACATGTTATTCTATGACATAGAAAAGTAATGAATTTGAAATGTAGATTGAAAGATACTATACTTGTACAGGTTAAGAGCAAAAAATCGTTTAATATGAAGCAGCCAAGCAAGCAGGGCGGCAGCCAGGTAGGTACGATTACTTTGAGGCGTCCATAATATCTGGATGAACATGGCTGTCGTGCAAACGACAGTCCATTGTTTCCCGGATAAGCCGTTTTTATGAAACCAGATGATTGTTCGACGTCAAGCTTCAACACCGGACAGGATGTAATCGATCGTCAAGCCATGCAGTAGTAAAGCAATGTGCAGATTATCAAAGCCATTGGCAACTATTTTGGCGTCTCCTTGAGAAAACCGATCAAATTTATCTGGATGTTATCTCTTTATATCTCTCAAATGAAGTAAAGAAAAATTAAGAAACAACTTATGAAAAATAACAACAAAATATTAAGAATAGACTACAAGTGCTAATGATTTGTTCCAGATGAAAAATTCATAGGAAAAGTGAATTAGTCGACGAGTCCTTGATTCAAATGGATGAAATCAATCCGATATCCAAGAGATAGCTAAAATAGCTCTACTTTTAAGGCAGAGCAAGAGAATGCTGGAGAACGAATATTGTCCTGGGTATTTGTGTAGATTGTATGCAACAGTGTGCGTTCTCGGAAAGGCAAAATAACGCCAGCGGTTGTGGGCAGCCAATCAAATAAAGTAGTCCGGGGTTGTTTTGCAGGATGCAAATTTGGCCCCTGTAGTCTTTCTTTTTCCCTCGAGCAACCCCCGTCCGGCACGCCACTAATACCGAAATACATTGTATTGTTCAGCGCACCCTTTCAAATCCCGATACATCCGCTGCACATTTCCTGGAAAAAGTATAACTCTGAAATCTACCTTATCCCTCTATTTCGATAGGAAAATTGTTGCAAAGGAAGAAAATTGATTTCTTTCAATGTTAGATCATCGTGCATATAAGAATACGCTTTGAAAGTGCTTTCGGCTATATCACTTGCTAGGCAGGTATAGACTGTATATGTATATACATTATCAATATATTTTTATCAATTTCTTTAAAGAAAATACTGACAAATTCAGTGATATCTTTGTCGTGTTAAAAATTCAATATCAATCAACAGCATGTTAATTCATATAATTAAATTAGAGATATTATTCATAATGCAATACATCGGTTGAATCGAACCTCGAAGAATAATCGATTTCATGGGAATACCCTGTGCAGTCATCGTGGCAAAAGTCGTATGCGTATGTCAGTACATGTAGTTTTCACACACGCGGGTACAACTGTTTGTATCATAGATTCCGAACGAACCAGTGTACCAATCCTGTTGAAATTTACAAGGAAATTCATGTTCGAAATGTAGTCGATACTGTAACATTTGTAAGTATTCAGCACATCTGATTAAAAAAAAAATATGCGCGCCAAATTAATTATTTTGAGATGGCAAGGTACCTTGACGTTACAAACAAATTTTTCTATATTGCAAAATAAATCCGTAATTCATAGATACATGAGAATACGATACAGACGATCCTGTTCGGAAATATTGGGGTATGATGAAGGTGGGCCAATTCGTGTAAATCAATGCATATCGTAAAGGCGTTACCTTGGAAATACTAGCATACTCAAAATAACGCTGTACAGTTCGATACGAGGCAATCAATTGTTAATTAAACCTGAGTCAGACAGTTTAAAATCAGATCCAGGTTCGTTGCATTCTGATTAAGTAAAACGACTTGTTAACCGTATTCACGCAATCTTGAGTATTCTAGTTTATTCAAGAATAATATCGCTATAAAATCTAACGAGCATCATAAATCTTACTAAGGTGGAATACTCGTTAAAGAAATAATCGCGAGCTCATGTGAGCACCGTTGGTTGAGAGCACTGACGAGTGCGGCGGTTGACAACCACTGTCAGGCGGCACGATTAGTGATCGACGTGTGAAGATGTAGCGAGAAGGAATAGGAGTGAATATTAGAAAGAAAGGAGAGAGCAAGAGAAAGAATGAAGGAAAGAACAAACGCGACTGCGTGTGGCTGTTGATCGAACGAATGAGAATTCGTGTTATAAATAGACAGATACGGAACCAAGGGGGATAAACGTGCGAGGGGAGAAATCAGAGGAACGAGAGATGACAGTAGGAAGAAAGACGAGAGCGAGACTTGGACTGAGTTGAGAGAGTGAGTGAAATTGCATAAGACACGTCCACACTGTCTATGCGATTGTACCTAAATAAGAAAAAAAGGATTCATTTTACAAAATACAGTTTGAGTACCAGATATATGTATAAGTAAAACCAGTAGCATATAAATCGATGGCTCAGAAGTGTTCTTAGCTTTATCCACCCTTATATAGCCTTAGCCATCCTTATATCCCTCCAAAGGGCACAAGGTGCGACGGTCACCCACCAGCTAGAGAAAGGCTTTCGTTTCCAGGTTAAAATGGCAAAGAGGAGGTGGAAGAGACAGATAGATTGGAGACGGTTCACGTGTTCGGCGAGGGGTGATATCGACTTACTAGCAGGATTCACTCGTAATTATACCGTAATGAAAATAGATCGTTACATTTGTAGTAATGTCCTGTGTGTCTTTAAGTGCCACAAGGTGAAACGTTTTTCCGGTACTGTACACTTACGCCACCTGTTTGATTCTCGAAGGCGTCCCTGTGTGCTTGTCTGCGAGCTAGTCTATTCTGGGACAGCAGTCGCGCCATTCGACAAGTTCAGCATCCGCCACTCACTTCGTCCCATGGTGAAGAACGATCAATTTCAATTCTTGGGGAATTTCCTTCCTTCACTTCTACAGGTTACCTAATACCAGCTACCAAAGCGTCACGACGTATTATACTTTTTTTTAGGCGATTGTAATTCACCCCAGGATCATCCACGTGTCCCAAGAATTGTACAGTTTCTAAACTTTGGATTGATTTATTTTGAGCCTGCACTCGAATGCACATTCTCTATGAATTCCAGTTTAGGCCCTCGACGTACTTGAGAATTGCTCTGACACAAATTCACGATTATACTATAGATCCCTTGCTGTATTCTTAAATGTAGTGAGAGAAATCCCACGAGGAATATTTAGAATAGCCACGAGACTCGCCTGAAGGGATTCCTGCTTGTAAATTTGATCCAATCACAAACCAATCAATTAGAGTCCAGAGTTCAAAAATCCTATTATACCGTGAACAGTGAAGATTGATTACAAATATTTTTTATTATTTACGTTACTGTTTTCATTAGACCTTGTATACGTTAAATGTGCAGCTACAAAATTAATGATCGGGTCGATGCCAATTTGTTTTTGTGATGCAGATAACATAACGTGGCCTGCAAGCAAAAGCTAATAAAAAAACAGCATGATATGTAGTTTCTATTGAAATAGCCTGTAACTGCTTAACTATGTAATCGTAAGTATATTTCTTGGGTAAATATACAATTACAAGCAGGAATAAATTGATCGTGTACAAAAGTTATCACAGAATTCAAATTGTTTTACTATTTAGATATGGCTATAACATAGATAAAGGAAATATGAATATAATCAATGCACGTAAGAGGATTATTTATAAGTACTTGCCAACAAAAATTAAGTATACAAGTCTTACCATTCAAAGTGTTTTGCAAAGATGCACATTTGAAATTCATCCGAATCCAAATATAGCCAAGAAAATATGAACAATGAAAAGGTTTAAGAAAACTTATAGTAAGAGCTTTGCTTTTATTGTATAGTATACTAATATTATGTACAACCGAAGAGACTTTGAGAAATATAAATAAATCGGGCAATTATTTTACAAAAGCGGACACCTATGTGTTGCTTCGGAACGATAAAACAAAAAAGATGAGCGTTCTATTACTTTGTTCTTTTATACCTCTCGTTATTATACACACGCACGCATATACAGCCACACAGGAACCCAAGCACACAATCGCACGCACTCCCACCCTTTTCTTCGTATTAAAGTTTTCCGCCCCACTTGTCACAGACAACTATCAATATTAAACAATAAATATGCATAAATACAATAAGTACCTTGTTGTCACTTCCTAATAGCTTTAACTACTACTGTATATAGTAAATTTTGTCTCCTCGCTCATTCCTAAATCACTTAACTAATCATTTCTTTTTTATCGTTATCTCGGCGTAATTAGAAAATGCTGACAAGGAGAGGAGCTGCTGCTGTACACTATGACGGAAGAATCATTCTGCCTAATGCTCTTGGCTCTTTGTCTTTACATTAATCTTAAATCCTTTTTTTTGACACGCTTGTTTTTCGCTTTTTTTCTCAAAAGTTAACAATCGCTAAGATTGTACCAAGAACACGAATTACGGCAATGGTACTAATTCACGTTGGATGTAAAATAATTAAGAACAAATACGGTCTCCGAATTAATGTTACAATAGACCTTATAGATAAATGTTTATACATGTTCTGAATTGTTATTACTTATTAGTTATCACTAATGTCCTCCTCCTCATAGTCATGGGACAGGGCTTTACTAATCATATAAGGCTTACTGTATGCTTATCGTTGAAAGGATATAACTGGCTTTGTCGTTTAAGACGTTAAATACTTTTGACAGGAAACTCTGAAGAAGTTCTACGAAACTTGTATAGTCATCGAATTCGTTGAAAGCTTCGACATGTTTTTGCCGTCATAGCGCACGATTACGCAGATTTCCAAGCAGTATGGACAAATAAATTTTAAAAAAAATGAAAATTCTACAATACACCTCCGTATTGCGTACACTTAGATATACATATTTTCATTGTCGATTATCATCAACATAGAAACTCGGGCAGGAGTCGCGTGCAATTCAAACCATTCCAAAGGAAATTACATTAAAAAATCACCACGCAATTCTCCTTATCTGTGTTCTTAAAGCCTCCAAGCTTCCTTTTAGCCACTTACAAGTCGTCCATGAAGATATTTAAAAAAAAACTATACAGAAAAAATTCTTACTTCTGAATTCACTCTGTCTATCCTCTTTCTTTCTCCCTGTCGTAGCATCCGCATTTTGTAAAACTTATTCGCGAATAGACGCAATAGAAATTCACGTGTGCACATTTCCAATTATCGAAAGATATTTCGAATCAGTAACTCTTCGGGTAAGTGCTTTCATTAATATTGGGGGATGACTCGGTCGCATTTAAGAACGCCCGCGATCGCCTTCGGCACGAATCAACTTCTCTCACGATATTCCTTCCTACTTCTTTCTTCAACACTTCCTCACTCTCACACTTCCTCTCACTCTTTCTACCATCTCATCGTTCGTCTCCCTTTGCTCCTTTTCATCTAGGCGTCCTCGCTTAAGTCCTCGGCGGTTCTTTCCTTTCTAGACGTGTGCGAGCATTCGATCACTTCAAACTCTTCTGACGAGGATTGTTCCCCTTGGACCTTTGAGTCCATCTCGATGCTCGAGGCACTTACTGATGCTGTGTCGACCTTACTCGATGATGAGGCCTCTTCTTCACTTTTCTGTCTCTTCATTGCTAAGCATACAGTAATATTATGGTTAGATGAAAGTTATTGACAACTTGTAAGAAATTATTGGTTTTTATTTATATAAGCATATGGTGTTTGAAGATTGTTATTTCTTTATTACTTTTAGTCTTATTGCAAATGGCTAGGTCACGAGGAATCAACAAATTTTCCTCTGTATGATTTCTAGATCACAAAGCTAGTCCATGACACAAATAGTTGTACCACTTACTAACATTCCTTCTAATTGTTCTTAATTCTAGAATAGAAATAATTTCCTCGATTTTTCAAGATAATCAGTTTCGAAATTAGACACCTTGTATGCTCTGTGTCAAAATAAAACGACTGTAAGGTCTATTATTATATTTATCGTCGACTTTTATAATAATATTTCGATATTTTTCAGATATCATTAGCAGAACAATAATATTTCTTAATACAACAATTGGTCATTAAAAATTGCAGTTTCGCTGAACATGATTCTACTTTAATATTTTACTCAAATAATTGTACTATGCATGATAATATCACTGAGACGAATATTTGAAAATTCTTATTCAATAACTCAGTTTATATTTTGAGATACAATTATTTTCGTTTCATGTTCGATATAAACTAATCACATAGGATTCTCCCTTAAGATAAGGCAAATATCAAAAGATGATGAGGGTCGGATCATTTGGAAGAAAAAAAAAGTTATACCTATCTTTCCGGTAAATCAAAAGAATATTCAGCCTCAGAAACGATGCTAAAAATAACTGACCTTGTGCAGAAGGCACCGTCGTAGCTGCCATCTCCGCCGTCACTGCTGTCCCTGTGACCGACGCAGAAGCTGAAGAAGTTATTCCGTCGACACGCTCGGCAGGGTTATCAGGATCTGGATCGAGCTGAGACAATTCCGAAACATAATTCTGCTGGGTCTGTTCGATGGTAGGCGTCGAGGGACTTGGGGTAGGCATCGGCGTCGGTGTGGAAGCTGGTGAAGGTCCAGGCGTCGTCGGGGCAGTACTGGGCGTCGGTGGCTGAGCTGCTTGCGTATGATTTCGAAATAAAAGTTGTTGCAACTGTGCCTGCTGTAGAATCACCGGCAACTCGTAGTGATGGAAGAAGTACAGCATAGAATGCTAAAAACAGAATTAAGACGAGAATCCCATTAAAAAGTTGTTGCCACGAAAGAATAACGTTACGTGAATATAACCACGTGTCTATCGATCCTCGAAAATCCCTGAAATTTTCAAACGGAAAATTGAGTTAGATGGCGAGAAAAGACGTGGCGTCAAAAGGGACCGATGATCTTGACTACAGAAGCCCTCCCATTAACCGCCCATAAAACATGTGGGAGAACGGTGGTTAAGGATGATAAAGTTGTTGTTATAGCTCGAAAAAGGCAGGGCAGCCAATATTGCGTTAGCGAGAGGCAAAGCTCGAGGGATGCGCACGGTCGAGGGAGAAAGAGCGCGCAGCATGGAACAAATTTGGCGGATTTCCATATAAATTTGCTGCTCGCGAGCTACACATGAGCCGCAGGAACAAGCGAGCGCTAGTGATACACGGGCTGCTGGATCTGCTTGCGGCGTTACCGATCGACGCACAAACCCGACAAACTTGCAATCAACCATCCATCCCTCATCATCCCTTACTCAGCAGCCACATTGCCACCATCCACCGACACCCTCACTGGCATCGCCACTAGCATTGTGTTAGGCTCCTCTCAATCTCCTCCTCCCATGATCCTCACCACCTCAGCCCCGCCAGTCACACCGACAACCAGTGCTCCCTGGCCTCTCGATCTCGATGAGTTCCACCCTCACGCGTTCCTTGTTTCTGTCACGAGTATTAACCAATTGTAATGCAATAAAAGTTTCCCGCGAAGAACTCGCCGCAACCTTCTAAACTTTTGCACGATTTCACACCAATCCTTGATTATACTTTGCGAATTCCCCGCCGATTATACTTTAGGAAACATGAATACAGTGCATACATTTTTTTTATAGATCATAAAAATCATTCGGTACAACTTTTCTATGTGACGACCTAGGATCTAATATATATATTTTTGGTTTTAATGCAATAATTTCAAATGTGACGGGATTTAACTATGCCAATTTTTTTGGTCCTTTATACATACAATCATTTTTTTCGCTCAGAGACAAAGTCTCGTATCAGTTCGAACGAATATGAAGTATTCATGCCTCTTCTATGCTACCTCGAATATACTTTTGGCCCACGATTTGATTTGTACCGACGGCAAAGTCTGGTCGAAACATATTTACAAGTAGTCACATGCCGACTGCTAACAAATTTACGGCATTGTTTCGCTTACACGGTACTAGCTTGTCTGGACTGAGGCCTATTGTTGCTCCATGCTCCTCCCAAACCTGATTATTATCTACCAAAACAGAGCTCTGTCGGTGGGCTACAGACCAGAGTGTAACCCAATGTATCTTTCGGATCCAACAAACCAAACTTCTATCTCGTATCGAAATACCCTCTACCATCTGACATAATATTCCTAATATCGTATAACAGGATTATATTATCCCTTTCCTCCAAAATACCACAAATGTTCAATAGTCCTCTCTAACTGGACGATACCTATTACAATGCATTCTTAACGACTGTGTTTAGAGTATGCATATATGTATATAGGGTAGTAATTTTACTTTAGATTCAGAGAATTGAAGATGGATCTTCACTCTGGTGAAAAATATAAATCCAGCAAAACGATAAAAAAGAGTTAACGTTCGATCGCTAATCTTTGAAAAATGTAAAAAAAAAACAATCGGAGCCGCGAATTTTTATGAAACTGACCACCTTATTAAAGTACATTAAAAAAAATAAAAATAATATTTTTGATTCTTAGCGACGTCTACGAAATTCATATAAATTGACCCAGCTGGTCCATCACACCCCC